AAAAAACTAAAACTAAACGTATAGTTAAAATATTTGTTACTAGTAGCGGAAATAATAGTTCATTGCTACTTAAAAGTATATTATTATACTACAACGATTGTTACCATAAATAAATATTTTTATAAATAATATTATATATATATGGGGATCCTAGTATTTCACTAGACGGACTCGCAGGTGAGACTAATCCCAAGTACTCACCCCCTCCGAAAGGAGGGCCTCCACGTGGTGATCCCTGGTAACGCTTTTAGCGGCTAATGCGAGCCATACCTGTACCCCTCCGATTCCTAAAATTCCTAACTGCAATCACTCCAACATCCTTTCCTAATTCTTCTCCATTACCATTTTCCCCCAATCCGGAATTGCGCGTGTTCATCGGACTTGTTTGCAGTCGGGGGTAACAGACTGTATTTTAGCGTCGCACCTCACTGATACCTGCCCGCCTCAGTGAGTAACTGTGGGCTTACCGTGTTACCGGGGGCTATGATACGGCGGACCTATTTTCCCCCACACTCGTGGGACCTATATGGAACAAAAAAATAATATTATAAAAAAACTAGCAGGAACACATACTGCAACTAGCCTGGCTGATTGGATGGAGTTTGATATCCAACATACCGATCGCCAGGCACACTTGTGGAAAGTGGGTGAAGAGCCTAGGAACATAACTAGTTCTTTGCTGTTTGAATCCAAAACGGGAATTCCGTTATGGAAGGAAAGTCAAGAAACTGTGGGCTCGAAAGTTGCACCGAAAAATGCAACCGTCGAAACACTACCACAGCCCTCGACAAGTACTGGACTGACTTCAGGCCAAAGCTTACGCGAAGTCAGGAAAACGACTGGCTTGAGTGGTGCGGGTACCAAATGGTATTTGCGCTACCTCAAGGAAGGCTTAACGCCTGCCGCGGCAAAGGAAAAGGCGCTGAATCGGTCAAAAGGTAGTCAAGACTCTAAGAAGAGGCCTGCCCAAGAAATTAATCCGATCGATGTCCAATCGGCTAAAAAGAGCAGAGGGAATGACAAACCTCTGCCAGTGAAAAATATAACGGAAATGGCTGCACCAAAACAACCGAGAAAAACATTATCGGGCAGTAGCTATGATAGTGTAGCCAATAGCTTAAGAATAGTCATCCTTCCCAAGTTTTACCCGGAGGCAACTCTCTCGAGAGACGAACAAGGAAAGATCGAAGAACTCCTCATTGAGAAGATGTATAAGGGATGGGATTCCAAGCTAAGATTCAGCGGAATACACTTTCGGTCAGGACTCATACTAATTGACTGTGTAGATGAAGAAGCGGCGAAATTCGTTCACAGGGCGGCACCTGAGCTGGACGGATGGGCTGGTGTTGAACTCACCACGTGTACCGGGGACAACATACCGAGTATATACATGATGACGGTCTACCTTCCGAGAGCCAAAGGTGTTGATACGGAAAAGCTGTTAAAACTACTCATCACGCAGAATGAGGGTCTGCATACTCAGCTATGGAGAGTAATTAGCGGCAAGGATGTGAAAAATGGAAAACTTCTGACGATTGGGATTGACAGCCTGTCGCAGGAGGCCATTAAAACCAACGGCTGTAGGGTCTTTTACAGGTTCAGCTCCGTCTCGGTCCACTTACATAAGGGGCGGGTGAACAAAGAGGGAAGTAACTCGGCTGGGGCAACCACACCAGCTGAGGGAACGCTATCAGCAGCCGTTGCGGAACAAGTAGAGGAGGCGGCCAGACATGAGATTAACGAAAGCAGTGTGAAACCTCACGGAAGTGAGGACATTGATGCCTTAGATCTCTCTCTCTCGTAGCTACAGGCTATCTACCAGGAGACGACACTCAGATACCATCTGTAGAGGTCGATAAACTGGTGGGCTACTGAAAGAATATGAAAATGCCACTCATACTTGGTTGCGACTCCAAAGCGCACAACGAAAAGTATAAACATCAACACAAGAGGTGAGTACCTTTTTGAATTTATAACTAGTAAGAAATTAACAATACTTAATGTAGGCAATTCACCAACATTTGCAACTAACTCACGCAAAGAGGTCCAAGGTATTACTATAGGAAATACTCGCGGTTGTGAGTTTGTCAAAAACTGGAGAGTATCCAGTGAACCTTCTATGTCTGATTACAGAATACAAAGTTGCTTTCAAAAGGCAACAGCGCCAATTCCACCAATATTAAGCGAGAAGATGGTAACTCCACCGAAGGTGAAGAGGAAAAGATACAATTTTTACTGGATGTTCATTTCTCAGGATTATCTGCAAACCTAGAGACAGAATCAGGACTACTAATCGCAAATAAAGTTACAAAGAAATATGGAAACCGACAGAAACATTTTCTTATTTGTAAATTAAGTAACAGATAGTAAAGTATACAAACGATTACAATGATAATGATTTTTAATGTACCGGCTAACCAGTTTAAACCAGTCTACTCTTTTACGTACTTACTTACTCCTGCCCTTCTCTCCTAAGTGGAGTTTTTCGAGAGGAACGGACTATTAACAACATTAATAATTATGTGAGGCGAAAGGGTATCTACCGACACTTAAGTGTACATTAATATACTAAATGCATTAAATTATACTAAATATTTTATATAATAATAATAAGTATTAAATAATATAAAAACAATAAAATAAATTAAATATACATTTCTTTGCTATTCGAATCTTCCTAAATTTTAATTATTTATAGTTATATACAACATATACTTTACATATTAAAATAAATTCATTTAAATTTGAATTAGTAGTATTATTGTGTATAAATATATACTAATTCGAGTCGCTGCTTTAAAAAGACTTACGGTAATAAAGACATACAGTTAGAAATTAAAAAAAAAGTAAAAAAAAAAAAATGCTTACAACTTGGCGTGTGTCTTCATCCAAATTTCTTTCGTTAAATGAACCACCGAAAATATGTTTTAACTACAAAAAAAGTTTAAAAAGAAATTATAAAAAATTAAATTAAATTTTATGGTATATGGAAAAATTAAATAAAAAAATAAATAAACATTAAAAATACCTAATATTTTTTTACATAATTAACTTAAAATCAAAATAAAAAAATTATTGGGGACTTTACTGCGGTTTATTGAGTCATTGATGATCCTCACTAGTTCTTTATGTTGTTCCAATAGTTTTGTAGTTCTAAACTATTTTTTGAAATTACTATTTACATACCACTAAAAATTCCTTTTTATCGACTCTTTGATTTCCATCAGTATCAAACATATTAAAAGCTATGCGAAATCCGGAAATTGGTTCTATAATGACAAAAAAAAAATATATTTATTTAATGTTTTAAAATTGTTAATAGAATCATTATATTTATTTATTTATTTATTATTACAATTCATTATTACTTAATTATAATATAAATTATTATATGTATTAAATTTTATTATATACTGAGTTATATACTTACTTGTTAGCACAGATAAAAGAAATAAATATTCGGTGTATGAAATAATGCCTGAAATAAGAATAATAAATATTAATATCGTATATAAATTAAAATAAAATTTAGATTTTATTTCTTTTAATATTTTTAACAAAAATTAGTTGTTTTAATTAATTATTTTAATAACAATAAACCTTAAATGAAGGAGTGTGTTTGGTAAGATAAAAATGATGAAATCACTGAAGAACTAATATTAATATTTTTATAAATGATTCTTCTAATCTTTAAGGAAGCAGTTCAAATTAAACAATTCAAGTGAGAGGTGAATGTATTCTAATTGAATTGCTTTTACCTATTTCATATATCTCAGACCCGTTCTTAAAGATTTCATTAATATAATTCGATTATCTTGAAAACTAAGTAACTAATAAAGCGTCAAATAGATTGATGTATACCATTTCCTACAACGCACACAACTCTGCGTCCAATTAACATTTGCACTCGCTCCATTGAAGTGCCCAGGTTTCTCCGTCTGAACCCTGGTTAAAATGTTCAATTAAATACCACCTACCCAATCGAACCCTTATCCTCATTTCCCTTCCATGACCACCAAGTATTATCTCTCCACTTCCTCACCCATGTAATCGTCTTGAATATCCCAACATACTATTCTCTTACAGGTCCCAGTGAGTTACAACAACAACAACATGTATCCCGTTAAGGTGATCAAGAGTATACACTTTTATATCGTTTCTAAAGTTTGCTTCATTATGTTACAAATAACCTGAAAAACCATTTTCATGAAGGTTTGATATACAAATATCTACAAGTATACATACAGATACTCTAAATGCCAAAATTGTCCAATCTGAATCGAATCAAACTGAAACCTTTACACTATCTCATATTAACATATCACGTTTTTATATTGTTTATTTCATCTATTAAATTTTTTTTTTGCATAATTGCATTTTAATTGTTTACTTTTAGATGGCTTCTTGCAACTCCGTATATAGTTAAAATATATTGTATCATAAACCGAACATTTTTAAAAGTAATTATATACGTTTATTTTTAGGTCCTGATTTAGCACCATAATCATACGTTAAATTTGGATCTTTTAGTATAGATTATATAGAGTAAAAATAGTGATTCTTTTATATAGTGTAATATATTGCAATAAAAATTTGATCAAGATTTTAATCACAAGTGATTTTTACATTTACTTTTATTAAATGGATGATTCTAAATATTATCAACTATGTACTTACCATTATCTCTGAGAGTTCTAAACATACGAGCTGAACCTTTCTTCAATGCTGGTGTTGTGTCTTTAATACGATTTAAGTCATTAGTCATTATTGATCGACGCTTAAGGCGTGCTATCGTCATATACAAAAGAAAATTAACAATACTAATATATGAAGAATAAAAACTGTTTACACATACGTCTGGGTTCTTGTTCCACAACTGAGTCCAAAAAATCCTGCGGTGTCATATAAAGCTGTCCATTATATTCAGCTGAAGCAAATTTGATAAATCTTCGTTCGCGTGGTGTTAATTTTATGGTTTTGTCATCTTCACGCTTAAATTAAGTAAATAAATTATTAATTTCTTTTAAACTTTATATGAATATAATTTAAGAACATTAATTTTAGTTGATGGCATTTAAATCATTTATAAGTATTTTTAATTATTTAAAGGAGAACCGTTTAAAGGAAAATGATTAATATTTAAGGAAAATGGATATAAATAAAATATGTCATAAAATAAATATTATTTATTCTGTAAATATACTAAAGCAGTAAAATGCTGTTAAAATTTTTTTTTCTGAGGGCCAATTACTTTGAATACATGATAATAATGGATTATACAATTTCCCTTAGTACAATCAGAAATTTTTACAATCTGATTGATTTAACAACCTCCAATTATAACAATGGAGGTTGTTCAAAATTATTGAAATACTCGTATAATATATGATGATAGGGATTCTGAATTGAACTTTTGGCAGTTTTTATAGATCCGTAGCCGATGATATCTAGGCTGAATAGTTAGTTAACTAGAATTACAAAAGCCAAGTTGAAGAAATGGTGTAATTTCTCTTCAATTGTTTAACCCTATCGAGATTAAGACAATTTGTAATGGTATGCTCTAAACAATGATAGGTATACCAAATAAAAATCTCAAAATGATAATCTTCTTTATTAACTGTGAACATAGTATTTAAAAATTGTATCCTAAATCTAGATGTGTGGTAAGAAAACGGCGGTTATTTACTACTTGGGTTGGAAAGGAAGCTTTATGATACTAAAAGCACCCATACCGATAATGAAGAAGACTGAATATTATTAGTAAAAGCTCATAATAAACAATCAAATAATCAATAAGTACCATATTTGGAATTTGAATACATAAAAAAATAATCAGCAAAAGATCTTTAGAAGAATGCATGATATTCATTATGCAGTTCCATGAAAAAATAGAGTAAATTATTACATTTAAAATTTTCTGTTTAGTAAAACAGAATATAATTTAATAATATAGAATAATTTAAAGATTTTTTATTTAATGTAATCGTACAAATTATTAATAAAAAAGTTGAAGTAAGTACCATATATCCAGCAGCCATTATTGATCTTAAAAAGACACATTACATTAACTTATTACTTAGATGAAAATATCCTCATAGCCGAAAATTTAACTAACATTAAAGCCAAACTATTCTATACAACACGACTGAAGGCATAACTATTACCAAGTTGAATGAGATGGCTTCCTGATATTGAAATTGTTTATCTTGCTAAATGAACCAATAAATATGAATGCAGTGATAGTTGAATATGGATAGTCTGATATGGCTAGTTTATGTTTAGAATATTGATTGGTCTGTCTAGATATAAGCCAAACATAGATCTATACATATGTTCTTAGCGATACCAAACGAAGCAATACTTCTATGTATGATTGTAGAATGTTAACCGTTTTTTCGAATATAGGCAGTACTTGAATTGTTGTTCTTAAGACATCTTTTTACTTCCTAAGTTGTGCAGTATCAATAATAATAGGTGTAATCGTAACAACACATGATATAAACGTAAGAGATATTGTAAAATCTTCTTTATTCCCATTTCTCTGCATAAGTTGTATATATCTTGAAAATACGTAAAACGTTATTAGTTGTACTATAACATACAATGCAAACAACATGGAAATGTAAACACACAAATTCAATCCGACCACTGAACAGCTTACACACAAAGAAAAGCTCAATATTTTTACCTAATATATTTTTCGTACTTTTGCGTCCAAATTCAAAATTGAAGAGATTTTTCCGATTCTTACTATTTGTAAATGTTAAGTATTTAACATCAATAAATTTTATTACGGCACAACTAATATAGCGATATAAGTATATCACTATCAAAGACTTATGGATTTTTTGGACGTAGGTTAGTTTTGGGTCGAGATCGCTAAACTATTTTTTCAAAAATAGTTATTTTTTCAAAAATAATTTTATACATTCCAATTAATGATTGTTTGAGGTGACAAGTTGTGGGTGTAAAAATATAATATTGAAATAAGCTAAGAATCTTCGGAGAGGTTGTTTGAAAATGATTGTACATCCGAAAAACTTTTGTAACTCAAACAAGCCTACTATTTTCTTTGATTATTATACGTTGTTTACTTGGAATTTCATCCGCAATTTTAGATTATTACTTAACTGTTTTTGTAGTGTTTTAAATATAAATAGATGTACATACAATAATCATTGTAGACCATTAAGTTTGTAGATAAATTATGTGTGGACTTTGTAACCTGATAATGAGCCAACGTACCTATCGTAAGTCGTAAGTACATAGCACGAAAAAGCATTAGTTTCTTTAACACCTTAAACTGCTACATCGTGGTAAATGTTTCTATATGGCGGATATATATTTAATACATCAAATTTATCAGATTTATCTTCATATGATTTTAATTAATTACCGACATTCAAGAATTGCTATATCATGTTAAACATTTCAAGATAGTTGATGTAATGCATAAGTATCATATTCCTAGTAACAATTCTTCCATAATTTTATTTTATTTTTGAAACTTATAGCACATTTACACTGTCTCATTAAGGCGGTTTTGCTCTATAACCACTAATAAGGACGATTTACCATACAAAAATCTTTCATATAATTGAGATCATTATCAATAAACCAGCTTATTTAAGGCAGAAATTGTCGAATGCAACCCTTAAAAATAATATTCCCACAAGGGAAATTACCAAAATTTGAAATATGTGTCATATGTTTTATATGTAAAATGTAAACAAACAACAGCTGAGCTGTAAACAAAGGCGCTGAGGAAGTAAATATTTAATACAATTTTTGTTTTTACTAATTAAATATGTAATATATATATATATAAATGAATGTGTGTTTGTCTGTATTCGATGGATTCAAAACTTGGAAAATTATTAGTCATATCCCCGGGAAGGTTTTTATATTATAAAATATTGGAAAAATCCACAAATTTTAATTTTAAAATTTAAAATATGGCACTAAAGCGAAGTTCTATTGGTCGAACTACAAATCAAGTAAAAAGAAGAAGAGAATAACGATCATTAGAAACAAGTGCGCAGAGACAGGCTAGGCAAGAAAGATATCGAGTTCAGACTGCTCTTGCTCGATCATTAGAAACAAGTGAGCAGAGACAAACTAGGCAAGAAAGAGGTCGAGTTCACACTGCTCTTGCTCGATCATTAGAAACGAGTGAACAGAGGCAACCAAGGCAGAAAAGGAATCGAATTCGCAGTACACAGACAAGACGAAGGATACATGCTGATTTGAATTTATGTGGTTTCAATTAGAATCCCCTTTACAATTACAGTCTTCATCCAAGTGTAACTATTGGAAAAATGGTTAAAAATTGTACGTAACATATTGTGATGAAACACCAGGTATGTGTTGTGCAGGCAAATTTATTACCATTCTGGATCACTAAAAACCGTCATTTAACAGGCGGTGTAAACAAAATGCAGTTTACTAAAAATAGAAGTCAATCTATGGCAGGATTTAATATGTCAATTATATATTTATTTTTTTTATATGATATGATATTAAATGAAGTTTATAAAAGTTCTATAAGCTGCATAAATGAGCTCGTTATAATGTGAACGTTTCCTTATTAATGTAAATGAGCAAATGTCTAAATGAGACAGTGTGAATATACTATTAGACTGCTACTAGTGTTTGCAGATGATTAATGCAGAGAATACAAATCTGCAAAATGTTAATTTGTTAAAATGTTAATGTAAAAGCTAATTTAAAATTGGTTAGTATAAATGAATTAAGCGTTGCCATATGTATCATACGTAGCTAATTTAAATGGAATGGAGGCTAATTTAAATGAAAAGAAAATATTAGTTAAAAAGTATAGTTGGTATATTTAAAGTATTGTGTTACAGCATTCACAACACAACGTTTTTTTATTGATTAAACTTGACTTTGATTTTTTAAAATTTATTTGACTTTATTGATAATTTATTTAAATCCACAGAAAATAAAAAATTACATAATAATCGAATCCAATTAAAATACAGCAAAGTATTTGTTGCTCAGCCGCAAGGCCTACGGTAGATGGAAACCACTTAACACCGCAGTAGTAGTGAAAACTCCCACGCCATCGCACACTGTTTGACAGCAAACTTTATTTATGTTTCAAAAATGCTTGAAATTATAATAAAAATAAATTTATCTATTTAATCATATCATTTTGATATTTTGTATGCAATTACATTATATCATGACTGATTTACAATGGATACGCGGTTGGACGTGTTTCATTTATTGGATCAAGCAGCAGCAATGCCATTATACAAGATATGACTGTTTCCAAATAAATAACACATATTATCGAGTGGAAAAGAGAAGAAATAAATAAATAAATGATGAATGACTTCGAAATTTAATTGCCACCTACAACAGTATCTGCATAAAATCGTCGATGCCTGTGCGATGACGCTAAAAAAGGATGATGTCAGTCATTTATGAAGAATTATCACCGAGATTAGGTGGTAGAATACCAAATTTATATGAAAAACGATAATGAAATAATTTTATATTTTTATAGCCTGCAGACATGTCCCCAGACAACTGTGCTCTGATTGGGACGGGGCCAAGTTCAATAGACCATTTCAATGGTAGTAAAAGGCAACGCAGCGCGTGCGAGTGTGTGCGGTCTCATACCACATCCATTGTTATGGGTAATTTAATACCAGGCAAAAGAATTATTGGTCTCAAATAAAAAAAATAAATAAAATGCAGAGAATAGAGATTTGATCATCGTTAAGATTTTTGCCTCAGATTGAGTTATTCAACAATTTGTTCGATTAAAGTAAGGTACAATGTTATTGATATGGGTGAGCCGAAAAATGACACTAAATGCAAAGACTGGCGTTAAATGTCAAATTTATTGTTATTACTTACAATTTATTTTAATTTTAATATCGTTTATACACTTGTGAGTTATAATTTCATAGAATCTTAAGAACGTCATAATAACTATTATAACAATAACATCTCTTTGAGAGAT